TCTCTGGCTGAGACTTTGCGACATTCCAAACCCTGAGATCATCGATAGTCCCCCGATAGTGATGTCCGTTATGACCTCCCAGTTCTAAAACGCGACATTGGAAAGTTGTTTCCTGTTGGAAAACCGGTCCTTCAATAACGGAGTTTGCTGCTACCTGCCACAATTAAGAGTTTTTTAAATTAATAATGATTTTTCCCTTTAACTGCAAAATATGATAAAATTTTAGAAGTTTCATAGTCAACATTAATTCTCATGACAAAAAAAACAATCATTTTAAGTACATGATTTAGTCCAAACAATAATTAATATTTGGATAATTCACATACATAATAATTGTAACCAAGTTTATTTAAAATTGTATCACAGTTCTCAGTTCACTCGTCATTTCGAAGAAATATATTCATAGAGCAAACTGAATGAAGGTAGTTAGGCTGAAATGTAATTTCTTTTAGAGAGCAAATATCAAATACAGTAATCAAAGTCGCTAAGAAGAGGAAAACTGAGGAGCAGTAAAATCAGGACACTACGTTCTTACCAACTGATCAGATCATTTTTAAATTATAATATGCCATGAAAAAAACTGAAATACAATTCTCACCTCAGTATGCCCCCTAGTGACATAGCGGTATGTCTTCGGACTTACAACACTAGAAACCGGATTTCGATACCCGTGATGGGCAGAGCACAGATAGCCCATTGTGTAGCTTTGTGCTTAATTAAGCAATCGGTTTGATACAAAATGAACAATAATAATAGTACTTAGACACATTTTTTATTCATTTTCTTTTAAAAATTAATACTCGGATTCTTTACCTTTTCCATATCTTAGTTTGAGATTCTTTTTTCGAAAGAGTGGCTTATTTGTTTGTTGAATTTCGTGAAAAGATACTCCAGAACCACCTGCGCTAACCGTCCATAAGTAAGAGACTAGAGAGAAAACAGCTAGTCAATCCACTCCACAGTGAACTCTTGGATTACTCCTCTCAAAACAAATAGTGAGATTGAACCGTCAATCTTATAACGTACCCATGGCCTCAAAGTGCTGAGTGCATTTTTTTTTATTGTCTTGCGGTAACGGAACGTGAACCTCAGATACACAGTCTGGTACTCTATAACCATTGGACCAGGCTCGATCCTTCACCAAAAGCAAGAACCAAGAAAAGAAGCTTAGAAAATAGACTTGAAGTCAACATTCCAGTAAGTCGAATGAAGAGGGAATATCGTGCCTATGCTTCTGGATGAATTCTTAAAAAGTGGCACATGTTAATTTATACTATAGAGCAACTTGTGTAAATCTGTTTGTTTGTCCGTGGCAAAAAAATCCATCTCCGCGACCTCTGATCAACATGAACATTTCAGCTCTAAAGGAGAGTATTTTGTCACTTTTACCTTTCCAATTCGCCCCACTACTGCTTTAATTTCTGATCGACATAAGGACCTGGAGTGGCGCAGTGGTTAACGAGTAGAACTGTGGATACGGCGGCTCATGTTTTGCGTGTCATTGCCGCAAAAAGAAAAAGAAAAAAAAAGCTCTCTGCTCTTTTGTGGTTTTCCTCGTTTTTACGAGATGGCCATTTCGATTTTTGCTTTTTTCTCTTAGTGCCTTTTTTCGAAAATGATCAGTTATTTCTTTCGGAAAGCAGAAACAAATTTTAGAATAAAAGACAATACGAAAAATGCTAAAAGTAAAAAACGTATCTTTTTGGGGAAATTTTATTCACTGAAAAAGCGAACGACATAACTGCTACAGGTGGCGCATATACAGTCGCTTATTTCATTTAAAAAAATATAATAATAATAACCAAAGCACAATGTTTGGTGAAAAAAAAATATATTTATTCTATCTGGCCCGGCATAGCCAGGTGGTTAGTGCGCTCGACTCGCAATCTTAGGGTCGCGGGTTCGAATCCCCGTCCCACCAAACATGCTCG